TGGGTTGGTTCTCGTCTCGAATGGGTATATGTTGAGGGTAGAAGTATGAAGATCCAGCGGTATCACAATAGGCCTAGTTGACCTAAGTGCATGATCGGATGGCCTCTACACTTAACCTAACCCGATTAAATTTATGATTTAAAAAATATAAAAAATATCATTGACCTCATTTACTTGGGTGATAATTTGATAAACAGTTATTTTAACATACTGGCACATTTTTTAAATTAACTTTTAGACTTTTGTCAAATTTTAATTTGTCAAAAAAAAAAAAAAAAAATTATTAAAATTAGTTTGTGTACCACCTAGGAGGAATTACTTCAACCACAACAATTTTAAAATTTTAATAAAAATTTTTTTCATTGAAATTTCAATCAAATCAAATTAAATTACTTAAACGCGTCCTTGAAGAATATTGAAGATATTGATGACTTTGCGAATGATTTATTACTTCTCTTATTTTATTGCTATGGCTATAATGACCATTGAAAATAACAATAATTTTAATATTATAAAATCATAAGAAATTCCCATTCAATTAAAAAAAAAATTATGTTAGTTTCTTTATTTCATTGAATTTCTCAAAATTAAAAAATATCTGTTATTGTGAAAAAAATTGTTAATTATTATAAAAATTTGCTACTTTAATTAAAAGAATGAGTTTTTCTTACACTACCATATCTACTCACAGTCTCAATTGAGTGCAAGTTTAGTTTTGTTCATTATTATAATAGGAATACTAATTAACTTATTCTTGTTAATTATAAAAGTAATATCATGATCTTCTCAATTAAATCAAATTACTTTAACTTCAGTATAAAATAAAATTTAATAATTACTCTTTAAATGTCAAACACGTGTGAGTAATTATTTATAATTATATACTTGAAATTACTCACAATAGAGTAAAACATTCCAAAATGTCATGAAAATGACATAAATAGATGATGAATTAGTTAACTTTCAATCATTTTTAAAATTACATACATATTAAATTTGTAACAGAGACAAATAAATACCCGTTATATATAGATCCATAAACTATTATGTATAAACAAACTTGATTATAAATTATAAACAAGATGGGTTTTGTATATTTTGCAACTCAGTTTTTAATTTGTGCTCATTTCATTGTTTACAAAAATAGTGTCAAAGAGTGTGTCTTTAAAACCACGGTACTTAAGCTTCATTCAACTCAAAAATATTTAAACTTCAAAATAAACACTTAACTTTATACTTAAATAAACAAAAAAAAAAAATCTTGGTATTTATTCGCCATCTAGTTAATGACCAAAAAAAAATTTAATTAAATTTGTTGATTTTATCATTAAAAAACAAAATGAATTTTTTGTCATGTTTATTAAAATTAAAAATGCAAATTTGTGCTAATTTTAATTTATTGTTGTCAATTTAACAATTTCATTATTGTTTTTAAGTATAAAACTTTCATTTTTAATGACATTTGTAAAAAAAATTTTAAGTTCCTTATGTCATTTCAGCACTTCATTATTGTATTATAAGTGTTATTACTTTTAATTTTAAACACTTTACTTGCGTTTAACATTGAAGGCAGTTCAATGCAAACGAAAAGCAAAATGTGTAGGCTTCAATTGAGTATTAAAAACATCAGCAATATACATAAATCAATTGAAAGTCAAGTTAAATAACGTGTCTTAAGAGTAATTTTTTCTTGTTTTTTATGATTTTAATCAGGTTTTTTAGTTGTCTTTTTGAAGTATGCAAACATTTTTTGCATTATTTTAATTTATTTATAATACTATATATTTTACTTAATATGGAAATTCATCTTAATTAAAGATTTTCCCTCTTTTAAATTAAAAAATATTTAAAAATTAATGAATTTAATTAACCAAATAGTGCAATAAAACTGTTTAAAACTATTTTAACTTAAGGTATTCCTCCATTGTTTTGTTTTAATAAATAAGTACATGAAAGATTTTATGTCAGGTTTTTATTACACCAATATTACATACCGCTGCTATTCAACTACATCTATTCTTTAGAAGAGAGCAGTCATGCAAGAGCAGTCTTTTTAATGTCGGATTGATCTGCAAATATTGGCAATTCATATTTGCAAATCGTGAACTTAAAAATTAACACTATGAACTTCTTTTGAAAAATAATATTGAATAAAATTGTATAAAATAAATTTTTTACAATATTATTGTAAAACCTAACTACTTATCCAACTCACTATGCGTTACGGAACTATTGAGGAAGATCCCTTAGGGAATATCAATAAATTAACAGAATTTTGCAAATTTTCGCAATAATATTATGTCTTATGATTTAAAAAAAAATATTCGCAAGTTGCAATTGTGAATATTGTGATCAAAATTCTTTTGCTTATGTCATTTTGTTTTTAGAAAGCTTCGAGCGCGGTATAATCATAAGACGTCATTGCTTATGATTACGATATTTCGCGATATCACAGTGTAAAAGCGTTATAAAGTGAAGAAATTTTCATTTTTATAAATTTTTAAAACGTGTTTCTTTTTTTTTTTTCATAATTGTGTTTTTTTATCAGCTTTCTTCCTCTTTTTACTGATACGATAAAAAAAATTCACTTTGCACTCGGCTAACAATAAAATATTTATAGAAAAAATAAAAATAAAAGTGAGAATAAAAAGAAGTAAAATAAAAAAAATTACACAAAAAAACGATAGAAACTTTAAAAATCTCGTTTCAATGTCGTCTTCAGTATTGAGTATGGGAAGAACAAGAATATTGTCACAACAAATAAAAAATAATGACTTTTTATACCCTGCACTTCGTGAAGGGTATATTAACTTTGGTATGGAGTTTGTAACTACTTGAAGGAGTCATCTGCGGTATGGACATATATATATATTCTTGCTCAGCGTAAAATTCTGCGTTGATTTAGACATGTCCGTCCGTCCGTCCGTCCGTCCGTCCGTCCGTCCGTCCGTCCGTCCGTCCGTCCGTCCGTCCGTCCGTCCGTCCGTCCGTCCGATCGCACGATAACTCAAAAACGAATAATGCAATCGACACCAAACTTTCACAAGTTGCTTCTTTTGTGCCAAGGACGAACCCTATTGTTATTGGACCAATTCGGACAACGGGTTCGGGTAGCTGCCATACAACTCAAAGAGTTTATTTTAATTATTTCAAAAACTAATAAAGGTACAAATATAAAATTTTGTATACATGTGTCCAATTATATTCTACACATGCTCTAAAAATTTTAATGAGATAGCTGCACCGGTTCGGGTGGCTGCCATACAACTCCAAAAGCAAATTTTTTATATTCGCCAAAATAATAAAGTCAGATTCATGAAACGTGGCAGTCGTTTGTCCAATTATAGGTCAAAGATATTTCTGAAGTTCTGGTGGAATTGCTTGACAGGTTCGAGTGGCTCCCATACAAGTCCAAAAGCTTATTTTAAATATTTGGAAAAATAATAAAGTCAGATTCATGAAACGTGGCAGTTGTGTGTCCAATTATAGGTCAAAGATATTTCTGAAGTTTTGGTGGAATTGCTTGACAGGTTCGAGTGGCCCCATACAAGTCCAAAAGCTTATTTTAAATATTTGGAAAAGTAATAAAGTTAGATTCATGAAACTTGGCAGTTGTGTGTCCAATTATAGGTCAGATATATTAGCGAAGTTTTAGTGGAATTGCTTGGCAGGTTCGGGTACCTGCCATACAACTCCAAAAGCTAATTTTAAATATTTGGAAAAATAATAAAGACAGATTCATGAAACTGGGCAGTTGTGTGTCCAATTATAGGTCAAAGATATTTCTGAAGTTTTGGTGGAATTGCTTGACAGGTTCCAGTGGCCCCATACAAGTCCAAAAGCTTATTTTAAATATTTGGAAAAGTAATAAAGTTAGATTCATGAAACTTGGCAGTTGTGTGTCCAATTATAGATCAGATATATTAGCGAAGTTTTAGTGGAATTGCTTGGCAGGTTCGGGTACCTGCCATACAACTCCAAAAGCTAATTTTAAATATTTGGAAAAATAATAAAGTCAGATTCATGAAACTTAGTAGTTGTGTGTTCAGTTATAGGTCAGACATATCCGTGAAGTTTCTATAGAATGGTTTCACAGGTTTGAGTAATTGCTATACAACAATGAAAGGTGCAGGGTATAATTCAATCGGTTCATACCGACTGAAACGTTTTTACTTGTTTTTAATTGAATTTGCAATAACTTTGATATTTGGATAATCTTTAATATTTTCTTGTAAAACTAAAGGAATCGGATTTGTAGTCGATTTAAAAATGGGATTAATAGTGTCTCAAGAACTTGTTCTCGTTCTAAGAGTTTTCTTTCAGTTCTGAATTTTGAGATTACAAAGTTTGTACATTAAATGCATTTTTTTTAAATCACCTAGAATAGCTTTGTTATCTGGGTGATATTTTATAATCAGTTACCTTCCAATTGGAGAATATAAAACTTGTAGAAAATTAAAAATAAGCTACCTTTCCACAGCGTTTTCAGCTTCCAGTGATTTTGTTTGCAGTCTTATTCCTAAATGTAGATTTAATTCGGTTTTCATTGAAATCAATATTGAAATTGCGTTATCCATGTCCGAGATTAGGAGCTCTTTTCAAAATATTTACAGTTCAGTTCTTATTTGCTATAAACTAAACAAACGATTCAAATTTACCTGAAGAACATATTCAAAATCGAAACCAAGAGTGTTTAGACCAAGTTTTTGCAAGATTTTTCTTGAAATTAGTCACCGATTCCCTTGTAAATAGAACGTTTTTCTAGATCATTGTAAGTAAGACAATAAATTATTATATCAAATGATTACCCAACTTTCAATTTTTAATCAATATCTTTCAATTCTACTTTATTTATAACAATAATTTAAAAAAAAAAAATAAATCAATTTGTTTGACTTTTTTTAATTTATAAATTTTGATTTCAAAAAATTTATTTATTTATACGTTGTATACAATTAAAATATTTTATTAATTTGTAATTATTTTGATTATAATTGTAGAATGGAAGTGAGTGCTCCACCGTCAGCTACAAATAATCTTTTACATCATAATCATCATGATACCTTAGCGGCAACCACATTAAATGATCATCCAAAGAAGACTAAAAGTCCTGGTGCTGTAACACCAATATTACATAATCAATTATTACAAAATGATGATCAAATCAATAGATCATCATCACCTTCTGCTTCCTCATCTCAACAATTGAATAGTCGTAGTAATAGTTCAAGCTCTGAAATTGAAAAAGAATTAGCTGAATTACAATTGGCTGGTGTTAATTTGAATGCAACAGTTGTTATAGAAAATGGTACTTGTCATCAAAATCAAAGACATCATAAATCAAATATAAATGGTAAATCAACAAAATTTTATATAGGAGATGAAAATGGTGGAGGAAATGATGATGGTCCTCAATCAATTAATTTAAATGGAACAACAGGTTTATCAACATCAGTTACCTCAACAAATACTATCGGTACAACCGGTTCATCATCTCAATCGATGACAAGTGGTGGTGGTGGTGGTGGTAGTGGTGCAATGTCAGGAACAGCAACAGCAGCAATTGGAACAACAACAAATACGACTTCTCTAAAAAAACGAATCTCAAGTAGCCGAACACCAACACGAAAAGCGAGAAGAATTAGATTTTTACGTAATGGTGATCGATTTTATGCCGGTATTACAATACCAGTTTCAAATGAACGTTACAGGTAAATTGCAAAGTATTTGTAATTTTTTTTAGAAGTTTCTAATTAATTTATTTTAAAATTTTGTAGATCTTTTGAAAGTCTAGCTGAAGACTTAACAAAATTATTACAGGAAAATGTTAAAATTCCTGGAGCTGTAAGAAATATTTTTACATTAACTGGTAAAAAAGTTTCAAATTTAGATGAATTAGAAGATGGTCAAAATTATATTTGTTCCTGTAATAATGAGAGTTTCAAAAAAGTTGAATATAATACAAGTGGCAGTAATAGTGGTATTGCAGTAGATGGTAATATTGGTATTGGTGGAAGTAGTAGTAGTGGCGGATCTGATTCTGGTGGTGCTTTAGCTAAAAGTAAACAAAATAATCGTTTAACAAAAACCTATCGTCCATCATCTCCATTAAAGAACGGTGGTTTAAATGGCAGTCCTATATTGAAATTATCAGAACGTGATAGTGTTGTGCATCCACGAATAGTTACATTAATTAGAAATGGTACAAAACCAAGAAAGGTATAATATTTTAAATTTAATAATTTTAAATTACCCATATTTTCATTTTAAAAATCATTTTTATATTTTAGATTATGCGACTTTTATTGAATAAAAGAAATAGTCCAAGTTTTGATCATGTTTTAACAGCTATAACACAAGTTGTTAAATTAGATACAGGATGCGTTCGTAAAGTTTTTACTATATCAGGTACACCAGTATTACAATTAGCTGATTTCTTTGGACTTGAAGATGAATTTTTTGCATATGGTACAGAACGTGTTAATCCAGATGATTTTAAATTAGAACTAGATGAAATAAAAGTTATACGTAGTACTAAAAAACCATTACGTAATGGAATTTCAGTTTCTGGACCAAAACCTAAAATGCCAGTTAAAAGTAAAAATGTACATAATGTTACATATGATTGTTTAGAAGAAACTTTAACTGATGCTGGTATACAATTACAAGATTTACCATTAGAGATAAAAGAACGTTATGCACTCGATTATAAAGTTGGTGATGGTAATTTTGCTGTTGTATTAAAAGTTGCTGATAAACAAACAAATGAAACATATGCCCTAAAAATTATCGACAAATCTAAATGTAAAGGAAAAGAACATTATATTGATGCTGAAGTTAGAGTTATGAAAAAATTACATCATCCACATATTATTGATTTAATTTTGGATGTTGATAGGCCTGATAGAATGTATTTAGTATTAGAATATGTTGGTGGTAAGTTATAATAACAAAAAAAAAAAATTAATTTTATTCAAAATTTCCTTAATTTTGAATTTATTTCTAAGGTGGTGACTTATTTGACGCTATTACACAAGTAACAAGATTCTCTGAAGATCAATCAAGAGTTATGATAAGACATTTAGCTTCAGCTATGGCATATTTGCATTCCATGAGTATTGTACATCGTGATATTAAACCAGAGAATTTATTAGTAAGCCAATTAAAAAATTCAGAACCAATTTTTATATTAATTTTAAATTATAATATTTAGGTTGAAATTGATTCAAGAGGTAATGTTGTTGAATTAAAATTAGCTGATTTTGGTTTAGCATGTGAAGTTACTGAACCATTATTAGCAGTTTGTGGTACACCAACTTATGTTGCACCAGAAATATTAATGGAAACTGGATATGGTTTAAAGGTTAATTGAAAAATTCAAATTTGGCTAAAATGAAAAAAAAATTGGTGCATATTATAACTTCTTTTTATAAATTTTAGATTGATGTTTGGGCAGCCGGTATTATTTTATATATATTATTATGCGGTTTTCCACCATTTGTATCACCAGATAATCAACAGGAACCATTATTTGATGCTATACTTTCTGGTGTCTATGAATTTCCAGATCCGTATTGGTCTGATATTGGTGAAGGTGTTAGAGATTTAATCAGTAATATGTTACAATCAGATCCAGATGTACGGTTTTCTAGTGAAGATATTTTAGATCATTATTGGACAATGGGTGAAAATACTGATTACAGATGAGAAAATAAATAAAAAAAAATATATACAGATTAAAATAAATATTGAAAAATATATAAAGGAAATAATGTATATTTAAACATAAATTTATATATACTGATAATAATAATAATAAATAATTTTTATAAGCTAAACAATTTTTGTATTAAATTACTTAATATTATCAATTAATTATTGATTATAAACTACGATTATTATTTTTTTTTTGTATATGTCTAAGGAAAATTATTTAATAAATCTTAAATATCTTATATGAAAATTATTTAATTTATATTCTTAAGAAAGATAAGAAGCAAAAACAAACAAATAAGAAACATTTAAGTTCTTTTTCTGCTCTATAAATAAGTAGTAATTATAAACACATTAAAAAACTTAAGAATTTTTTATTAATATTATTCTTGTATTTCATTGGACTTTATGTAAAAATTATTGAACACGAAAAAAAAATATAAAATATAATAAATATAAAATAATATTGAATTTATATTAATAAAATAATTTAAAATTAATATTATCATTTATACATAAACCAAAATAAATTAATGCTATACTTAATCTAGTTTTTTTTTTTTAATCAAAATTGTTTAAAATTATAATATCAGTTTATTAAATTTAAAATTAATTATAATATAAATTGAAAATTCAAATTTTATTACTTTGTAAACGATTTTAGTAAGCAATAATTATTAATTTTTTAAAAATATATTTTTATACAAAAATATTTACAATAGTAATAATGGAAATAGTAGCAATCCTTTTTTCTTTCATTATAATTTCTTAGAAATAATTGAATAACAATTGGAACATTCTAGCATAATTTGTTACCCAAAATTGTATAATCATAATGTTTCTGATTATATTTCGTAGGTTTTAATCAAGCTAAATAATTAAAAATATTTAAATTCAGGAATTAGGACTCTCTTATTAAAATCTTATTCTAAACTTTCACATACCCTTGTGTTACACTTGAGATATTTTCATTTTTATTATTCAATTAATATATAAATTAGTACAACAAAATGTTCAATTAAAATTTATATAAATTAAAATAGAACCAAATAAAATGTAATTGTCTTGTCAAATGAAAGTTTCTGTTAAATTTTAATAATAATTGGATACTAGATTTTTTTTTTAAAATAATTCAAAATATCAGAAATATTTTTTAATACATTAGGTAATTCTAAAATGTAAAAACTTTCGATTCAGTTTAATATTTTTATTTATTTACTTTGAGTTTAATAAATTTACAATTTTTTGATTTAGCATTTGAATTTTTTTTTATTTGTCTGTAAAAAAAAAGTTAATTTCGATAATATGAATTTAAATATGAAAAAAAAAAATAATAATTTAATATAATTATTTTTAATTCAAAAATTCCTTTAATGTAAATATAACCCTATATTATAAATTATACTTATAAACATATGTAAAAAAATTATAAAGGCAAAATTTAAAAAAAAAAAATTAAGATTAATATAATTATTATTACACTTGCATTATTATATTATTATTATTACGTATGTATATGCTAATTTTATACTTAAAAGAAAATATTTATATTTGCAATTATAATCATTAATTTTCATTAATTTTAATAATACCTAATATATAAATTTCAAAATTTATTGTTAAATTAAATTTAATCGTGATTGTAAGCTGCCAGTCTCTACACCCCTATTAATCTATAAAAAAAAAATGAATTTTTTATTTAAATGAAAAGAAAGACAAAGCTTAATTTTATAAACATATCAAATAAATAAAAATTGCTTTTAATATTATAGTGGTGAATGATATATTTATTAAAAAAAAAAAAATAGTACTAAATAATTTAATTAATAAAAACATTTTTTTATTTGCTTCCTTTTTTTTTTACATATAATCATTAAGTATAAAAATTCTTCATTGATTATAAAAATAGCAATATTTTTTTTTATTAAATTTTAATTAAATAAAATATAAATTTTATTACTTATACAATTAATATAAATAAAATTTTTTTATTTATTTACAAAACATTTATTTTATGTAATATCAGCGCCACATTTTTAGAAAATAAAATATTGCTACTCTAATATTTTGATTTTTCAAATTTTTGGAAGAAATTAATCAAAAATTTTTATTAAGTTTATTTTGGTTTCTTGTTTATATTTTCAAAAAGGAATTATAAATCAAAAATCCCTACCATTTTTACTCATGGATTTTCGAAATGTAATTTTATTTTATTTTTTTAATTTCCAATTTATCGAATTAACATTTTACGTTTTCACTCAACGAGAACTATTCAAGAAGTAGACTGATCTTAACCAATCTACTAATAGTATTATTTTAGTTAAATTAATTTTTTTTTCTAATTTTTCATTCTTATTTTCAAAATTGTTCTAATAAATATTAAAGGGGATCTTTTTTCTCCTTTTTTTTTTGGAAAAGAATATCTCAATTTTAAGCGGATTTAATTTTGTATTTTAATAGTAAATCAGATAATTTTGATTTGAATATTAACGATATTCAATATTATTGATATTTTAAAAATTTATAAAGCAAAAATTTTTAAATTCAATAAAATTTAGCAAAAATTTTAATTAAATTACAAAATCTATTTTAATTATATTTATGTTTATGTATTATTTATAGCTCCTTAAAATAATTATAATATATAAACTTATATAATATTACAAATAAATATGAATGTATTCAGGAAATATCTTGAAAATAATATAAAAATTAAAATTCTTAAAACTTATTGTAAACATTGAGAGTGTAGGCATATACTAGAAAGTACAAATTTTTTAAAATTGAGATTTTGAGAAAATCATACTCGTAATTGGCATAAAGATGCAAGTATATAAAGTTTTGAATTAAGAAATTTTCGCTTTATTCAATTAAAAACTTAAAATAACATCCCTATATAATAAAAAATTTATTTTCCAATTTAGTTACATGCAATTGAAATTGATTTTTTGTCTTAAGAAGACGACGTTATCATAAAGGTTTCTACATAATATATTTGACTACAATAAATTTTAAGCAAGGTTTATGCCTAACACTCTCAATTTAAAAAACATTTTGCTTTATAAAAAAATATTCACTTAATTCTCGGCAAACAAAAAAAAAAAAAACAAGGAATGAAAAACAAAATTTTTTAAAAATTAATTAAATTATAAAAAAAAGACAACGATAACATTAGGTGTTAAAAAATTAATTTAAATAAAATTAAACAATTTTTTTATTTTTTCCCCATTTAATTTTCAGTTTTGCTTTTTATTTTTTCCTTTTCGTTTTGTATAATATATTATAAATAAATTAATAATTAATCAAATATAAATTAAGAAATGTTAAAAAACAAAAAAGAGAAAAACGAAATTTACGAATAAATTGCAGAGTAATGTATTTAAATTATAAAAATTATTTCTAATATAAATTTGAAAAAAAAAATAAACAAATAAATGAAGAATAATAAAAAAATAAATGTTAATATAATTGAATAATTATACAAAATTTATATTCTATTAATATTATATTACAATTATTTAATTACTTATAAAAATGTAAATTAATTAAATTGGCAAAATTTAAAGATTATTAAAAGTAGTGCACAAAATTTATAATAAATTCCATCTATTAAAACACAAAACATTATTGATTAAGTTTTAAAGAAAAAGAAGGGAAAAAAATTTATCATTAATATAAAAATACTAAATTAATAAGTAAATTAAAAAATAATGATTGTGTCTTAAATAAAAAAAAAATAAAACAAAAATGCTTTACTTTTTTAATTTTGATGGATTAAAATAAAATAATTTTTTTTTTCAACGTAATTTTTAATCAAATCAAAATTTTAATAAAATTCCTAAAAAATTAAAAAGAGAAAAGAATTCCATTAAAAAACAAGAAGAAAAACATAAAATCAGAAATGTAAATTTTATGAATAAGAAATTAAAAATAAAAAAATAAAGTTTTGCAAATTTAAATTAAAAAAAAAAACAAAAATATTTAAGAAAAGTGCCTCTTTTGAATAAATTGAATTTCATTTGTAATTATTTCCAATAAAATTAAAAATAAAGAAAATAAAATTAATGAGTGAAATTTTACTATTCTTTTTAAATTAAAATAATAAAATTTTGAGGTTGATAATAAATTAATTATTATTCATTAAAAAAAAAGCAAAAATTTATATTATCTACTCTTTTCCACTTAATTATAATAATATTATAATTAAGAACTTAAGAATTGTTTTGAATTTCTGAGCACCTTTTAAATTTCACATTTATTAAAAAAAAAATTTCATTTTATTGGCAAACAAATTTAATTACTTAAGTATTAATGGTAATATGATGTAATTTTGAGGTGCCTATTCAAATATTAAAAAGTAATTTCCTATTAAATAAAATCTCCAAAAGTAAAATAATCTTATGAATTTTAAAATAAATAAAAGAAAATAATAAATACAATAATATACAAAAAAAAAAAAACAAATAATTTTAAAATTAAATTTATTCTATTTTCTCAATGTTTGTTTCTTTTCAATTCTAAACAAAAAAAAAATTCAATATAAAATGAGGTTCTTTCTTAAAAACAATTTTCATACTTTCGTGGAAAAAAAACACACCCACATACTACTAAGAAGAAAAACATTTATATAATTAAGAAATATGAATATAAAAGCTAGAAAACTCTGCAAAATTAAAAACTATTATTCAAGTATCCTAAGAGGAAAAATTAGAGAAAAATTAAAATAAAAAAATATATTAATATTGTGGGAAGAGAAATCTAATATTTAAATACGTTCTAATTGAACAGATAATTTTTCAAAATTGGAAATGTTTTTTGTTTTTCTTAAATATCTGGACTAAAATTCTGGACTAAAATTAAATGCTTTTATTCTATAAAATATATTTAGATTTCTAATAGCTTCAACCCTAAATAAATAATATAAATATATATATATATATATATATATTAATTATATGTATTTGTACATATAATTTTTAAAAATTATTATAAAAAAGTCAATATTATAAATAAATAAATAAAAAGAAAAATAATCATTTATTAAAAAAAAAAGAACAATACAACAAAATTTATAGTACATACTACTGAAAAAAAAACTTAAATAGTAAAAAAAAAAATAAAATTATCAAAATTTTAGGGATTTGTTTAAAAAGTTTAATTCAAAAACCAAAAGAAAATTAAAAAATAAAAATTTATACAATAGAAATAAAATTAAAATGTATAAAGAAAAGAAAAAAAGAAAAGTTATTATAAAATATGTATGTATAAAAATTATTAAGAAATTTATATGAAAAAATAAATAATAATAAAATTGAAAATTTATACATTTGCATATCAGTTTA